GCAGGAATGGTCATGGCTGCTGCAGACTCCCCAGCCAGCATTTTTCATTGTCATGTTCTGCCTAGCAACTGCTGAGTTGCTGGGAACAGCATGGCGATTGGCTATCTCCACACAATCTTTCTTCTCTGCTGGCATGCAGCTTTCTAGTGGCCAGCTGTGGCAGTGGAATCTTGCCAGCAGTGGGGCATTGTGCCACGCCACCTCCAAAAGTGCTGATTGCGGAGATAGCCATGCTTAGCATTCCTGCTTAGTTGCTGCCCTGTGTTGGAGCAACACATTGAAGTAGCACTGCTTGTGCCACTCTATCAGCCAGCAGTCTCCTCATGTAGAAGCTAACCTGCACACAAGGAGCACATAGGCAGCACACAGGACATTGCCAGCAAGGTGAGTGTCCCAAGAAACCCACGTCTCCTGCCTTCTGTCCCACTCCCATCTTGTCCCTGACTGTCTATTTATTAAAAGCTTTTGTATGCCATTCCATTATACAAGATCTCAGGATGGCTTACAGTCCTCGGAACACCCTCCCCACAGCTGCAGGACTAACACTGTCCTGACAGCAAACTTTCCCAGGCAGATGTCCAGAAGGGCATCCTCAGGAAAATCTGTCCAGCAGAATGCACTCCATCTGTCCCTGGCATGGTTGACCATGCTTATGCCCTCCATGCACCTGGCTGCTGGGAGGGGGGAAGCCCATGGCAGTGTGAGCAAGTCCTGTGCGTGAGGGAATGTGGACACATGTGCAGGGAGGGATGGGGTGTGGGTGGGTGCACTTGTACATTTGCATGCTGTGTTTTTACAACAGGGAATATTCCTGTAGTACTACTTTGGAGCAATCGTGCTACTCTAGCAAATAGGCAGTTTCTAAACTGAGCAGCCAAAAAAAGGCAGGGGGCAGCTAGCTAAGGCCCAAGGTATATGTGGGCCAATGAGGGAGAGACAGGCAGGATCATTGCACCCTGGGATTGATTTTTAGCAACAAAAGCTGATGGGACATGTGCCTCCATTTGGAGGCAAGATAAAGAAGCATGGAAACCATGCATGCATAGATACCATGTGTCTGTCTGAACCCAGGACATAAGGTAAGATACTTTTCATTGAGTTATCCAGTACACCAAAGGTGTTTACCAAATGCATGATAACTGTAATCGCTTGTCTGGGGCTGGAGGATGTTATTATGTTCCAGTACATACAGAACATTCCAGTACATAGGTGACTGGTGCTCTCTTGTCATGTACTGGATTGCAATATGTGTACCACCTTCATTCTGTTAGAAGAAATTGGCCTCCAGGTTTTCATATTTTCATCTCTTGCAATATCTTCAATTTATTGGTGCATATCCTGGCTCATCCGTGGGATGCACTTACCTCCTTCTCAGCAGAGCAGACACATTGGTGAACCTTGTCTTGTGAGTATAGTCTGTTTGTTTATTATTAGCAGTCATATACTGCACTATCTGTTAAAACAACCAACAGTTAAGGACAAAGTAAAAACATTTAAGCAACACATTTTAAAAGACTAAAAATATGCATCTTTACACTGTAGTTTTTGAAAGATCATCTTTCTAGTTTTTGAAAGATCAAATTAAATATTTAGGGGACACATTCCCCATCTGTCACAGGCATGCTAGGTCCAGAGTCATGGGACTTATGATAATTACCACAATCTTTTGCTTGTCTCAGGACCACTCCCAGGTTGGTTTCTTCCTAGAGATAAACAATGGCTATTGTTTCCTGTGTCCCCTACTTCTGTTCTGTCAGCTTCAATTTAATCCCCCAGGTTCAACCCTGATAAGACACCCTTGTCTTTTGAGGATTCTTACAACTGACTCTTTTCCTGTGAGTTGGGGAGTTAACTGCAGAGTCTTCTGCATTCATGTGAAACAGTCTGTTCTAGGGTTATGCTAGGGTTATTTACATAACCCTTGCTTGTTGAGTTCACATGACTCAACAGCCTCCGAGCAAGAATTGGATATGCAAAACAGTAGCTGTACCCACCACAGGCTCATCCATGATGGACTGACATGATGTATAAACTGGCCTTTTTGCTTCCTCCCCCACCAGCCAATTCTCCATGTCTCTGTTTTCCTCTTACCGCTATCCTGCACCTATACACACACACTCTCTAGCTCTCCCACATTCAAGCACTATATTTATTATATTTATCATGCATACAAATATATGCACACAGATAGTTCCTTCTCAGTGCAACACATGAAAATCACACCCCTTCAAGATGCCTATAAATCCGGGGTCCTCAAACTTTTTCAACAGGGGGACTATTTGAAAGGCAGTGGCAGTGGGTGCGGGCTGGTGAGGTGGTGCAGGCTGGCGAAGCAGTGAGGTGGGGGTGGCGGGGGTGGCAAGGCGGTGGCGGGCCCACAGCGAGGCGGCGGCAGGTGCATGTGGGCGCGGTGAGGCAGAGGCTTGCTCGCTCGGAGATCGTTTCCTCTGAGCGAGTCCAAAACCTCTGAGGCAGGCCGGATCCAGCCCGTGGGCCATAGTTTGAGGACTCATGCTATCAATTCTCACTTTTCTCTCCCTCTCTTTCTTGTATACAGGCAGCAGCCATCCATTAAGACATACAAGCATCCAACCCTATAGTTTCTACCTAACTAGTTTCCACATATCTGCTGGTTCCTGCTGCTCTCCCTATCCACTTGCCTGTTGGCTTCCTGTTGCCTTCACTGATCCTCTCAGCTTTTTTACTGCTGCCCTTCCTAGTTTCCACCCAAAATTTACCAGAATAAAACTCATTTTCTCCCCTGCTACTCTTTCTTGAACATGAACATGCTGCAGAAGAACGTATTAGCCTGCAGCTGCTCACCATCTTCATTACCTGGAAATATCTTTGAGCTTCACACATGGCCTATCAACATTCATGAGAAATGAAGTGGCAGCTGCTGGAGGCTCTCACTTTGCTTTGAAGCAGTCCCAGCTGCCAGTAAGAACAACTTCCCCTTTGTCATTGTCTTTGTTTAAATGGGAAGGGTAGAGCACTGTTGTAGGTGCCAAAAAAGGCATTCTGGGTCACAGTGGTGCCTAGATGTACACATTGTAGCTGCCCTGCAGACTTGATACCAGGACAACAGAAGATGCATCATTTGGCCAGGGTGTTGTCCACTTCTGGCTTTTACCTTTCTAATCAGCCATATATGCAAGTCACAGAGAATATTAAGGCTGATAGGTTGCTTACTTGCAACTGTGCTGATTTTGATTAGATATCTATATACCCAGTCAACTTGCCCTCTTGTCTCTTTGTTGTCTCACTGGTCTTCCATCCTCCTGCTGTAGTATACTGTGAATTGAGCAGAAACAGTAGAGCTACTCCCTGAGTGTGTCAAAACTGTGATTTAAAGTGTTCTGAACACTGCTTTGTGCAGGCATAGAACCCATATGAATGAGCATGCAGTTGATCACACCAAGAACTGTAGTTCCAAATAAGTAGCCAAGTTCTTTCTTTCCTTCCCCTCCTCCAGCACTCCTTTTCTGTTACTACTCTCGTAATACAAAGCATTCTTTCTAGAAAATTCTGGTCCCTGCTTCTTCTTCTTTTAAAAGGTAGAACTGTGGTCAAAAAGAATTGTACTAAAGATATCTAATTTAGTATGTGTTGAATAAATAATTCTTGTAACAAGCTGGAGCTGCTTTAGTATTTGTCATTACAGTAGGCAGATAGGTGAGATATTCTGCCCTAGGTAGAGCAACAGTAGTAGCAACAGCAGCACATGAGGGGGAGGTTTTCCTTGTTCAGATATTATTGTGATAATTTTTCTTTAACATTAGCATGGACAGGCTAGAACTTGTATTAACAAGTTATTTTAATATATTAAAATATATTGTGTTGAATCCTGTACTTACGGGAGGTATAGGCTTTTAAAATGAGCCTTCACATGACAAAAAACAACTTATGCATAGGCTGTTGCTGAATGGGACATATCTCATTAGTATTCTAGACAGAACCTCCTGAACTGCTTTTCTTGAATACTGAAAGAAAACAGCAGAAAAGCTCTACAAGAGATCTTATGAAATGGAAAGTTGTATATGAAATTTCCTGTGATGTTCTAACTTGACATAAGATATCAGTAATGCATTTCCATCTATATTTACCATAACTATCCATGGCAGAATATTATAACTCTTTTCTATTTAAACACATTTGCTATAGATAAAATATGCATGCTAGACTAATTTTAGTAAATACAACCCAGTGGGCCTACTTTTCATAGTGCTTAGTACTGGCTTTTGTTAATCTCTTGTTTGTTAGAATCCAAGAATTGGGAAAACTACCAGTTACTGATTTAAATTATGTAATAGGACACACTCTGTGTGCGTGCGTGTGTGCCTGGGTGGAATATATGTATGCCACCAGTTCCTGCCAGAGCAACTCAATGTGGCTGTAGTATATGAACAGCTTTGCAGGCCTTCCTTCTCTTCTCTGAGCAGGTATTGGTTTAAAATGTTCACTCTGCTAACTTTCTGAAATGAAAAACAAGAATTCCTTAAGGTCAATGAGCTGTATGTAAACTAAGTCATAACCTGTGTCACTCTATGGAAATCAATAGGACTTAGGTTAGTGATTCAGTTTACACATCACAAGTAAAACCTGTGGTTTAATTAATCCACAGTGCCTTGAGACCATTGCTAACCACAATTTCAAATAAACACTCCATGGCAGGTCATGAAAACCTGGGCATCATGGGTTATTTCAGGAGTAAACATGGGTTGTTCTAGAGTTATCCAGAGTTGTTTAACCATCCCGAAGTATCTGCATTCACACAATACATAATTAACCCACAGTTCCTTAGCATAATGTCAGAACGGGCCCAATATAACAGCATTCTTCAGAATCAGTATTGATAGCATTTAATTTTCAAAACTGCTTTCAGTTATGAGATATATGTAGTCTTGTAATCAAGAAACATTTTCAGCTATCAGAGTATTTTTAGGTTTTTTTAAACTTAAAGTTTCTATTGTATTGTTTGTTAACTTTTTGGTTTTTAGTTGCAGATCGCTTAGGCTGTGATCCACGAACAAGGTTTCAGGTTCCTCCAAACACCAAACAATGGATTGCTCTGTTGCAGCGAGGAAATTGCACCTTTAGACAAAAAATACTGCGGGCAGCTTTACACAATGCTTCAGCTGTGGTAATTTACAACAATGTATCTGGTGAAGAGGCAGTCACTATGACTCATCAAGGTAAAAGCTAGGATGTTAGATCCTCCTTTCTCTTTTATTCACAGATTATCTTTTTATTTCCTTTTATGGTGTATGACTTTAAAAAGACATATTTTATTAGAACTATTTGTAGTGTTTATATATATAAGTGTAATTTGATTTGAGAAATCATGTCCAAATACTTGTGGACAGTAGACACAAAATTGTATTCATCCACTGTGGATTTTTTTTTCAACTTTGTCATGATTCTGGAGAGAGGTCATGATATAGTAGTCTCCACTAACTGGCAAGCATATCATATTACTATGTCCACTCTGTGTGTACATACATACTCCTGGTGGTGAAGGGAAGAATGGGTTGAGATAGCTGTCTCTGGGAGATTGGAAGGAAAAAGGCAGGTATTTGAAGCAAAGTATAGGCTGTCATCCCTTTCAGTATCCCCTTGCTTGCTTGGTTTAATCATGGGCAAACATTTTGAAGACTTACAGGAATCTGTAGAATCTGCTTTTGTGACAACTTCCTATTAGTGGAATGACTCAAAATACAACTGGAAGCTCTTTGGCTTCAATATTTATATTCTACTAGAGATATGGAGACCTGGGAGGAAAATAGTTTTTTGGGCAAGGGATGTTCCCTGTCTTCACCCCAAGGACCTTTTGTCTTTCTCCCTAAAATGTTTCTGAGATAGAACTTCATTTAAGTCTGTTTGGAACAAATAGCAGTACTATAAGTTTGTAAGGGACCAACTGAAGTCTGCTGGCTTCTATTCAACCTTGGCAGCTAAGTTTTTCTTCTACAAATGAGTACCCTTTTAAATGGGCTCTTTAAAGGTACAATCTCTTTTAAGAAGCCTAATTATAATTCCTGTAGAGCTACTATTGGTGATTTACTGACAAAACATTATCAGATGCATGCCTCCTAAACAATAAAGAGTTGAATATAAATAATGCTTAACAAAATAGGTTAACACCAATGATGCAATGTACAAATCTTTAATACCCTAATTCATAAATCTCAAAGAAAAATAGAAAGGAAGGTATTAAATTCAAATCTTGATTTGGGCTCCTTTATCATGAGGCTGTATGTTTATTTATTTGGCTCTTCCCTTCTTCCCTACCACCCATGAAGTAGTGGTTATGAATTATCATAAATTAAAATTGGTAATGGTTAACTGCTCCATTAAAACATGTGCAGAAATGTGTTAAATCATTACTTGTTTCAAGCTTACTATATAAATAGATGTATCTTGTGCTAGAGCTGAATGTACACTGTATGGTAGCTATAAGAAATAAGAATTATACTAATAGGTAATGCATGGCAGTCATTGGAAACATGGATCTGTCAATTTTTTGTTTTTCTTAAAAAGCAATTGTAGGTGTTTGTTGTTGATTTTTAGCAAAGTCACGTCTGACCTAGTGCTACCCCATGGACAACATTTCTTCATGCTCTCCTGTCTTCCACCATCCCCTAGAGTCCACCTAAGCTCACACCAACTGCTTCAGTGACTCCATCTAGCCACCTCATCCTCTGCCCTCTTCTTCTTCTTTTGCCGTCAATTGTTCCCAGCATTAGAGTCTTCTCCAGTAAGTCCTTCCTTCTTGGTAGGTGGCCAAAGTATTTGAGTTTCATCTTCAGTATCTGGCCTTCTAAAGAGCAGTCAGGGTTGATCTCCTCTAGGACTGACTGGTTTGATCTTCTTGTAGTCCAAGGGACTCACAGGAGTCTTCTCCAGCACCACAATTCAAAGGTCTCAATTCTTCGGCGCTCAATCTTTCATATGGTCCAACTTTCACAGCCATACATTGTAACTGGGAAAACCATAGCCTTGACTATACACACTTTTGTCAGCAGCATGATGTTTCTGCTTTTCAGTATGCTGTCTAGATTTGCCATAGCATTCCTCCTAAGGAGCAAGCATCTTTTAATTTCTTGGCTGCAGTCACCATCTGCAGTGATCTTGGAGTCCAGGAAAATAAAATCTGTCACTATCTCCATTTCTTCCCCATCTATTTGCCAGGAAGTGAGAGGACCGGATGCCATAATCTTAGTTTTCTTGATGTTGAGTTTCAAGCCAACTTTTGCACTCTTCTCCTTCACCCACATCAAGAGGCTCTTTAGTTCCTCTTCACTTTCTGCCATTAGAGTGGTATCATTTGCATATCTGAGGTTGTTGCTATTTCTCCTGGCAATCTTACTTCCAGCTTGTGATTCGTCTAGCCCTGCCTTTCACATGATGTGCTCTGCATATAAGTTAAATAGGCAGGGCGACAATATACAACATTGCCGTACTCCTTTCCCAGTTTTGAACCAATCACTAGTTCCGTGTCCAGTTCTCACTGTTGCTTCTTGACCTGCATACAGGTTTCTTAAGAGACAAATAGGATGGTTTGATGCTCCCATCTCTTTAAGAACTTGCCACAATTTGGTGTTATCCACACAAGCAAAGGCTTTAGCATAGTCAATGAGGCAGAAGTAGATGTTTTTCTGGAACTCCCTGGATTTCTCCATGATCCAGCGTATGTTGGCAATTTGATCTCTGGTTCCTCTGGCTCTTCAAAACCCTGCCTGTACTTCTGGTAGTTCTTGGTCCACATACTGCCGGAGCCTAGCTTGTAGGATTTTGAGCATCACTTTGCTAGCATGTGAAATGAGTGCAATGGTGCAGTAGTTTTGCAACAAGAAGCTCATGATCTGAGCCACAGTCAGTTCCTGGTCTTGTTTTTACTGACAGTGTAGAGCTTCTCCATCTTTGGCTGCAGAGCACATAGTCAATCTGATTTCTGTGTTGACCATCTGGTGATGTCTATGTGTAGAGTCGTCTCTTGGGTTGTTGGAAAAGAGTGTTTGCTATGACCAGCATGTTCTCTTGACAACCTTTCTGCCAACCCGTGCAAGCCAAACTTGCCTGTTATTCCAGTTATCTTTTGGCTTCCTACTTTAGCATTCCAATCCCCCATGATGATAAGGACATCAATTTTTGGTGTTATTTCTAGAAGGTGTTGTAGGCCTTCATAGAACCAGTCAACTTCAGCTTCTTCAGCGTCAGTGGTTAGGTCATAGACTTGGACTACTGTGATGTTGAATGGTTTACCTTGGATTCGAACTGAGATCGTTCTATCATTTTGGAGATTGTATCCCAGTATTGCTTTTCCTACTCTTTTATTGACTTTGAAGGCTACTCCATTTCTTCTGAGGGATTCTTGCCTGCAGTAGTATACCTGATGGTCATCTGAAGTAAATTCAGTCCATTTTAGTTTGCTGATTCATAGATCTTACATTCCAGGTTCCTATGAAATATTGTTCTTTATAGCGTTGGACTTTCCTTTCACCACCAGATACATCCACAACTTTTGGCTTTGACCCAGTCGCTTGATTCTTTCTGGCGTTACTAGTACTAGCCCTTTGCTCTTTCCCAGTAGCACACTGGACTCCTTCCAACCTGAGGGGCTCATCTTCCAGTGTCATTTTCTTTTCTTTATGCTTCTGTCCATCGTGTTTTCATGGCAAGGATACTGGAGTGGGTTGCCATTTCCTTCTCCAGTGGATCACCTTTTGTCAGAGCTCTCTGCTATGACCTGACCGTCTTGAGTGTCCCTGCACAGCATAGCTCATAGCTTCATTGCACTACACAGTCCCCTTTGCCACGGCAAGGCAGTGATCCATGAAGGGGTGTAGTTGTTTACCTAGTTGGATTAGAGTTTGGGAAGAATTAATCCCTACTGTGTGTTTTTCAACTCTTTCAACCTTCCCCACTTCAGACTCTTCCTTTGGAGCACCAGGTATGTTCAAAGGGAGAGAATCAGACCAGGCAAACAGTGCAGGCAGGAAAATACTTATTACTGTTTTCTTACTGCCATGCTTCTGATCCAGTTATGGTTTAAGAAAAAATATACCCAGTCAGTCTTCCACAGAGTGTCTGTTTTGGCCCTTACTTTACTTATATTCTAGGATCCAATTCTGTTACAAGAAGTATAACACAAAGGTGTTTTTTTTTTGCCTGAAATTGTTTTATATTTTTTTTAAAATGTGTGTTTAACTACTGGATTAGGTCACTTCTAAAAAATGTACTGAACATAAGAATTATCCTGTGAATCACATTAAAATATAGCATTTTGCTTCTAGCACTAATCAACAAGATGCTGTCACTATTACGAGAAGCAGAGTGTGACAGAGATCTGGGTTGAATGTCATTGACTATCCATGGATTGCTTAAATCATGAACAAATGGGAGCAAGTATGATTAATGATTCCTGCCTGACTGTTCCTATGGCTGTAAAACCAAACAAACAAACAAACAAAAAAACAGGAGCACACCATCCCTGGGTTGTTTATCATCCCATCTGATCATGCAATACTGGATTGTTTGGGGACAAACCACATATAGTTTGAACTTTGTTCATTTTCCAAGAACCTGGAGTTCTGGGTTTGGATGTCACAATTATTGCAGTGAGAATTTGTGTGCCTTCTGTGTGTCCTCAGTAACTGGCTGTCCTTTTTAGTGATCTCTACACTACTCATTATTGCCATGTTTCATGATATAGAAATCCTGAAAATAAGTACAGGTTGTATAGAGAAATACTACTTCGATTTGACCTTAATCTTCTACTAGTTGTTGAGTGACATTGGGTACTAGTTTGTTATTGTTGCATCTCAGTTTAGAACTCTTGATTGTTTAGGGATTAAACAACCCAGAATTAACCCAACAACAAAACATGAACTATTTAGAAAAGTGAAAAGGGCTGGCTGGCTCCCACACACTCGCAGACCACCAAATGCCCACAATTTGACCTTCTTAGTAGGGCAGCAGTTTCACCCATGATCATGTCTGTGTCATTTTTTCTGTACCTTCTCCATTTGCTTTAGAATTAGGAGACCCAATGAAAATACAGTACTTGAAATTGGTGTGCACAGTAGATGTGTATAATTCCTACCATTAGATTTAGTGCTATATCATAAGAAGATTATGATTTTGGCAAACTGTTCTCTGTAATCTCCAGTCATGTTCCTCAGAGAGAGAAAAGCAAGAGCAGGTAGTAATTATGTGCTTTCAGAAGATGTTTGGACCAAGGAACATGATTACCTTCCTGTTTACTCTCATGTGGACCATCCCCATCTAAATAGATCTAGAGTATTTTCAAGGTTGATGAGCCTTTTCTAGTCTCAGAAGTAAGGTCTTATACTTAGGAGGAAAGAGCCTCCTGTTTTGTCTTACTGCATTATCATTTGGTAGATAATCACAGTAAATGTGTGTCTCTTCATTGTGAAGAAATACCTATTAAAGACATGCATATAATAAACTAATAAAGTGATTATTAAATTCTGGTTCTTTCCTAACATCATAAAATGTCTGGCTGCTAATGAAATTGTGTGGTATTTAAAAAAAATACACTCAGCTGAATATTAATAGACAAGTGTTTTTGTTAAAATGGTCAGTCTGAATGTTTGCTTTATAACATGCACATTATGTCAGATACCAATTTTTTTTTTATTCTTTTGGTAGGAACTGGAGACATTGTCACTGTCATGATCACAGAATTGAAGGTTAAGGAGATCTTGAATTACTTAGAAAAAAATATGTCTGTCCTGATTGCAATAGCAGTTGGAACCCGCTATCAAAACAAAAACTTGAGCCGTAGCTCTCTTGTCTTCGTATCAATATCATTTATAGTTTTGATGATAATTTCTTCAGCATGGCTAATATTTTATTTCATCCAGAAGATCAGATATACAAATGCACGTGATCGAAACCAGGTAACTTCCTTTGGCTCTTTATCTTTACTATGCTTTCTCTTACTGTTTTTATATTTTTTAATTTTGTAGTTTTTTACTATTGTAAGCCACCTGAGTGCTTTTCCTATAGTGGAAGGCTGAGATATCTCTCCTAGGGTGCAGTTTCATCAATTGTACCCTCAGTGCTCATAAACCCCCATATTTGGAGGCTTCCAAGCATCCATTGTCGAGCAGAAGATGGAGACAGTTTCCACCTCTCTGTACTTCCTGCTCAACATGAAATGATTTGAAATGTTGGACAGGCATTTTATCAGACTAGAAAATACTAGGTTAGATAAGTCAGTGGCCTAACTGTATATAGGGCAGTTTTCCAACAAACTTGCTTAATCTCCATAATGTGACCTACAAGTTTGCAGCATTAGTCTATCAATCTCCAGCTGGATGTTGTAGAAACATTTCTGTGGTACCTTGTTTCGTAAATGTGAGAAAGAAAAATAGTGTAGCTAGTGTGTGTGTGTGTGTAATATTCAGTGCATTATTTCATACTTATAACAGCAGCCATAACCTTCAAATATATCCCATGCTGTTTTTCAATTTCTTTAAAGAGAAATGATGTGGGTTGCTCTCTTCAACTTACTGGTAGCATGCAGTCCTTAACACTTTATACAAAGTACTGTGGCCCCTGAAGGGGAAAACGAAACCACCCTTTCCTGGATTGGATAAATACATTATTAATATTTTCAAAGACACAATTGCCAGTGTGGTGTAGTGGTTAAAAGCATGGGACTGGGACTCAGAGGATCTGGGTTCTAGTCCCCACTCAGCCATGGAGCCAACTGGGTGACTTTGGGCCAGTCACAGACTCTCAGCCCAACCTACCTCACAGGGTTGTTGTTGTGGGGATCAGATGGAGTAGGAGATGTAAGCTGCCTTGAGCCCTTTGTAGGAAAAAGGCAGGATATAAATCACAATATAAATAAATAAATAAATAAATAAATTGTTGAGATTGGGTAGGATACAGTATGAGTTCAAGATAGTAACCATAGACATAAAAAGGACTAGCAGCCTGCTCCTCTACTTATTTTTCTCAGAAGCAATTCCAACTGAGTTGAATAGGGATCATGGCAAAATAAGAACACACAAAATTACCAAGATACTGCATAACCCATTGGTGGTATTATGCAGTTTAACTGAATTCCTTGATCTATTGCTACATATTTATTTCTACTACTATTATTGTTTATTAAATTTCTATACCATCCTTAGCTGAAGCTCTCTGGGCATTTTTATTGCTTTGCATTTATATTCCATCTCTTTTGAGGAACCCAAGTTGGCTTATATAACTGTCCTCTGCTCCATTTTCTGTTCATAACAACAGTTCTGTAAGGAACATTAGGCTGAGAGAGTGACTGGTCCAAAGTCACCCTGTGTAGAGCCAACTTCAGGAAACTTCTATACCTGAGGAATTTTTGGTGGGAACCCTTCCCCACCATTCTAGCACACATGTCCCTCCCTAGCAGATTCCCATGTTTTTCTTAACTTCCTCTTTGATCACCATGGTGGTTGTCTATGGAAAGTTTCTCTCTTCCTTTCAACTGCATATTCTTGGGTTTCTACATTTTTATTAGTCTTTATCTTTTTCTGCTGTCTTTCTTCATTCTTTTCAGTTTGTTCTATTATTATTTTTGCATGCATTCTACCATCATTTTATAACCTTGGGCCATATGGCCTTGAAAGGTCCTTTTTGGAAATGTATGTCCTATTGGAATAAATGCCATCATATAAATGGCAACTCCCTCTGCTTTTATGGTTTTTGAGGCAAGCACATTGGGGATACTTCTGCATATTATTGCTAGGTATTCACAAAGCAAGGGTGGTGAAATAGAGCTGGCAGACTTAAGGCTGTCTTATGAAGGAAGACACTGGAGACTGTTAGAAGCTCCACAGGGAGGGGGGAAGGTGTTCTTCTTCCCCCATTCCACACTTAAGGTACAGTGAGGGTGCTGGAACTTGCTACTCTCTTAGGTCAGTGCCTGGCCAAAGGTTATACCAGTACCTGGATGGTCAATCATATTATTATTGGATCTGGCGTACTGGATCTGAATTTGATCAGCAGACTGGTCACCCCTTCTTCCATGTCATTGATGAAAAGATTGAACAGGATCAGTCCCAGGACAGAGCCCTGAAGGACACCACTGATGATTCCCTACTAATGGTTACCCTCTGCTTTCAGTCAGCCAACCATGCCCCAATCCATTGGGCAGTGCATTGCTCTATCCCCAAACTCCTCATTTTCTCAACCAGGATATCATGTGGCACTTTGTCAAATACCTTGCTGAAAACCATGTAAACCACATCCACCGCATCCCCTCCGTCTAGCCACCTCGAAACCTTGTCATAGAATTCCACAAGATTTGTCTGGCTGGACCTGTTTTTGCAGAAGCCTTGTTGTGTGGCGCCAACCTCCCTTCCCTGTCTAGGGTTACTATTATGAGTCTTTCCATTGTCTTTCCTACAGTGGATGTAAGGCTCTACTGCTTGAATAACTAGTTACAGATAAGCAACTTGTTTTTACCAACTCCCAACTATTGTGCTTGTATTATTTAGTGTTACCCTCTTTTAAAATGTTAAGAGTGGAAGATATTTAAAAATGCTTTCTGATCAGTGTGTGATACAGTGATATATATCTAGTCAACCCCTGAGATCTTTTGAGGAGGCATTTACTGATTCTTCTGTAACCAGCAGAGTGTTGACAAATAGTAACTGGCAAATAGGCCTTCTTGGTAGGGCTGCCCAAATTCTGGAACACTCTCCTACATATTGTTCAAGTTGGAGAAATGTATAGCAAGCTTTGTAAGCCTCTTGAAGGCATTTTTATTTACACAGTTTTTCCTGACTTGCAGTTGATCGTGACACTGCCCACTTTATTGTTATTTTGTTAAAAAAAAACCCTATTGGCTGCTTTAATGCTGTTTTATGTTGATTTTATATTGTATTTTACATTTATTGAGAATTGCTTAGGGATTACAGAATATTATGTCTCATAAACTGAAGGTATCAGGTAGATTCTGCCAGTTCATACAAAACTTGTTGCTCATAAATTTTCAGTGGGTAGGAGGCCTTTGTCCCATTTATAATTTACCATATATGGATACATTTCCTTTAAGTTTTGAACTTATTGCTAAGGCATTCTGCAGTACTTTGTGACTTATGTATTCTTGCAGCTGATTTGTGTAGGCCAGAATCCCATACATTAGGTATTTCAGCATTTTAAAAAAATCCATAACAAAATAGTTGCTCTGTAAGTAAAAGACTTAAGTGCCTTTTTTCCTTCAAAAGTTGACAAAGGTTAGGAGAAACGTGATAAAAATTTTATGTGGTTTCAAAAGCTTGTCTTATCAAAGTTTAATGAAGAGGTAGCAACAGCTAGAGCACAACTGAAAAAGCTGAGCTATTATAAGGGGAACACTTTTGATGCAACAGCAGCTCTTTTTGTATGTTGCTTTTTTCACACAGTTCAGAACTAACATCTGCTGTTTAAAAGGGAGAGCGGGGCTACTATGACTGTACCTTTGTGGATTTTCTAAGACACGAGCATTCTGAAATCAAAGGAGAAATGTAGAACAAGAGACTAGTACATGGTTTGCATTCACAACTGATAGTAAGGAGAATTGACTCTGTTATTTTTCTTTGAGTGACCAGCATTAAATGGGTTGGCCATTGTAGAATTCAAGGAGTAATTAATAGAATCAGCTTTGAAATTGTGCAGTGTTCTAGGGCTGGGAAAATGGGGAACATAATGACAATTCTAAGCAATAGGGGTTTTCAATAAGGGAAAAAAGTGCTTTGGATAGGAAGATGATTCTCCTCAGTCTGCTTTGGGCAATACTTTCTCCATTTCAAATTCAGAAAATCTGATACTTCTGGATGTCTCCCACTGACTATCATAAGGAACACATTGCTCTAACTTTTTAATTAGTAGGAAGGATTGGATACTGTTTGCAAGTATTCCCTTCTTTTGAGTAGATAAAGCCAGATGAGCGGGCTTTTGTGCTAGGTGCCTTTAACAATGATTTGGTGTTAGTGCATCAAAGGAAAGAACTGATCTTTTCACTTCTGCTTTTCCTCCGAGACGTTTATATAGGGGAAGATATGAGTTTTACCACACTCTTTCTTCATCATTGATGAAGCTGATAATATTGAATTGCCATTTGAAATTCTATAATGTTGTAGTGTTTGTGTATCCTTGACACTGTGTACATATGTGAAAATCATAACAGAGAAAGCTGCAGATTATATTACTACTCAGATCTCCAAAATCACTGAACTTAAAATTTAATGCTACAGTAAACAGGATCAGAGTAGTTGATTTAGATCATGTAAGCTATAAATCCAACAACCAGCCTCACCTTTCCTGTTTCCCATATGTTACCTTTCTTTGTTGTTGCAATAAAAGTTTGAATGGTAACACCTGGGAATTTAGAACTTCAACCAGACCAACTGAATTAATGGACTATCTCCCCTGCCTTCCCCCCACTGTCATTATGTATAATATAGGAGGTTGTCTTCTATTTGGTTGGACTGTTTGCCCATCTGGCCCAATACTGTATACTCTGATTGGCATCTCTGCAATATCTTTTCTACCACCTACTATCTGATCCTTCTCTCTGCCAAGAATTGAAACTTGTTCTCTAGGTTATGGCCATTCCTTCTGCTTTCCAGCAGAAAACTTGCCACTGAAAATGCTTTGAACTCTAGCTTTATTTCTGGATAGCATCAGTAGTAAGCAACTTCTGGGGATCAAAAAGGTGCACTGTCTTCCCCACAATCCATTAGGGAATGCCACTCTCTGGTGTGTTCACCAGAATTGTGGCTGAATTTGCTGTTGTACTAGTGGCAGAAGCAAAACAGTGAATTTGAAGCAAAATTTTACTTCTGAGAGGCTTCAGGCATGTGATTCTCCTTGTGAGCAAGACTCCCACATGTGCCTTGTTTGTTTTTCTCTTGAATTCATAGAGAAATAGACTCATCTTTTGTTTGGAACCCAGTTGACACTGTTAAAATACTGCATAAAGCATAACAGATTGTGGGCAAATCTCCCATAACTTCTGTAAAATTTGCAGATTAGGAAAACATAAGTGTACCCCCCCATCAAATTTTGGCTTCAGCGGTTTTCAGAAAACATAAAACCAAATAACAGATCCAAGGAAACACCTCTATAAAGATACAGCCTTTCAAATAACTGAGAACAAATTTATATAAATAAGTTAATTTATTGATCTCCTCTATTTAAACCTACTCCTTATCTTTCTGGGAGTCCTAGTTACTAAAGCAAGGAAATGTGACCTTAATCTGTTCAGAGAGACCTGTCATAGTTGGCATTTTCACTTACCTTGGAAAATATTATAAAGTTGGAATCTATAGTTAAAGCATAGATTCTTGCTTGTAACCAAAATGGATTTTCATAAAACATATGAAGTAAATGTTATGACCAGAGACTTTCATTTTGAAATTTTCCTCAGCTGCTCACAGGCTATTCATAGTTCCCCTAGAGTGTTTTTCAAGTATAGTGAATAAGTAGAAATAATGTACCATTTAACTTACAGCTAAAGGAATTGTAAGATGAAGAATTTCAGGTTTTTCAATGCCTAATCATCTTGTTTGTATTCTTTTCTTTTCTTTTTAATATAGCGCCGTCTTGGAGATGCTGCCAAGAAAGCTGTTGGTAAACTGACAACAAGGACTGTAAAGAAAGGTGATAAGGTATCATCATATAAGTACAATGTTATCTTTTTATGTTGCTTTACAAGAAAAAGTTATAATTGGACTCTGATTATGTCTTCCCCTTTCAGTTGACTTGCCTCACTACAGCCATCCCTTCTGTTTATTGTGGCACTGACATCTCTCTGCTTGATCTTCTTTTGCCACAGCTTGTCACAGTAGTACTGGTGCTGTCCTTTTAAAACTGGATCAGCTGTTTCAGTCTGCATAGTTCCATAGTCTTCCTAGCTTAGGAATCAGTATCACAGCACTCTGGGTGCTGTGTATACTCTCTCTCCAGCCCTTGTTACCATCCCTGTTCATTTATTACCTATCTTTGTTTGCAGTGCCTCTCCATGATTTTAAGATTTTAATTCATTGTGTGTATAAGCAATCATTTCCTATTGTTTCTTTGTCATGCTGCTTACGTTTTAAATGAATCTGCAATGCCCCAGTATTTGTCATAGGTTTTTTGTCTATATGCAAGTCTGTTTTTTCTCTTGGTTGTCACAAACATTTTTGGTTTCTAGTTGATTACAAGAGTCTTTCACAATAGAAATATACTTGCATATACAGCGAGAACTTTATTAATACCAAGAGGGAAGTTGCTCCCTGACTTACAATATCAGTTCTGGATTAAAAGAGACAGAGGTTGCAATGCAAGCAGCAGGAAATGTGCATGCTGCCGGCAGGCATATGTGAATAAATCTGTCATTCATCAGTGTTACTCATTAGAGTTCTCTGCATGGAATATTGGCTGTCCATTACAAGCGACGAAGTTGCTGTTTTTTTATTTATTTATTTTTGCTGTGCCTTTTAAAGTCTTACCTATAAAAGCATAGGTTTTATGTTGTGTGTACAGTCCAGTGATATTGCTCTAAAAACAAGTACTGTAATTTTAAAGAGATCACGTTTCTGAAAATCTACACTGCAGAGATTTATATGTTCATTGTGTAGCTAGAGCAATTGGATTCTAACTAAAATCACTAACTTTAGTGATAGGTTTATTCAGCAAGTAATACTGTCTTCAGTTGGGAATGATAACATGTCAGGCAGGACAAACACTAGCTTTTCCAAACCATAATAAAAAGCAGTGTTACAGTTTTTCATGGTCTCTGCATCCTTCTACAAATAGGTTCTTTGCCTGTGCAGAGTGAAGTTAGGAGCCTTCTATAGCCAGGCAAAGGAAAGAGTTTTAGCACCTCACCCCAGAACTCAAGACACACATTCAGAATAAGATGGCTCCTGCCTTCCTGTTTGTTCTTTATTGCTGCAGCTGTTACCTTCTTGGAATATTCAACAAAACTTTCCATTCTTATGAAAGGAATTTTGCTTTAGTACTAAAAGACATATCACTTACTATTTTTTCAAAACAAAGCCCAAGCTAGTTTTTGTATTTAACAAAATCCCTCAAACTATCACATTACCTTTTTTTTTTTTTTAATCTTATGTAACAATTAGGCACCTTACCATGAGCCTTATTTGGATTATTCTAAAACTGAGCAAAGTTTTTGGTGAGAAGTTCACCTCCACCCTCATTGCGCACACTCAGGGTCATAGTTCCTGTTATTCCTAGACTGTAGCAGTAATGTCATTATGGAATTTTTCCGTATGCTGAAGATACTGAACTAAACTTCCTAATTGAAACTTCTGTTTTAATCTGTTTATTTTTTATACTTTATTCTCTCTTCTTGTGTATTTTCTTTCTGTCATAGTTTGCATTTTATCCTTTGCCACTACTTGTGTTCACACAACACACTGCAATATCCCATCCCGCTAATAAACTATGCAAAGGCTTATTGTAGCAGCCATTTCCTATACCTTCTACCTTGGATATACACTATTACACATCCACTACTTAGGACGTGCACTGCTCCTGGATCCAGAGTTGTCCCTGGAATACCAGGTGGCATCGGTGGCCTGGAGCACCTTTTATCAACTGTGGCTGATATATTAGTTGTGTTTAGAAGGGTGGAACCTAGCACTGGTAGTCCATGCACTGGTAACCTCATGTTTGGATTACTGCATTGAACTTTACTGTGCCTTTGAAAATGATCCAGAAAGTTCAGTTGGTACAGAACAGGACAGCCCATCTGCTAACTGGGATGGAATGATATTAATATAGAAGCCTTGTCCTTCAACAATTATTATTATTATTATTATTATTATTATTATTATTATTATTATAACATTTCTATGCCGCCCCTTGCCGAAACCTCGGGGCAGCTACATTGGTTATCAGTTGAAGTCTGGTCTCACTTCAGGGTATTCACATTGATGTATACATTCCTAAATGGCTTAGGTTCTGAATATCTAAAGCATGGGTCCTCAAACTACAGCCCGCGGGACAGATCCAGCCCGCCATGGCCATCCATCTGGCCCGCGCTGCCCGTGCGTGTGCTTGCTGTGTAGGCAGGGAGGTGGTGGCTCGCTCGCTCGAAGATGGTATTCAAGTCAGCGAGCCACCGCCACTGCCTGCCTCCCATCCGCGTGCGCTCGGAGATGGTCTCCGAGTGAATAAGCCGCCACCACCGCCTGCTTCCTGTACGCACGCGCTCGCCCCTGCCTCGCAGCGTGGGCAGGGAGGTGGTGGCTTGCTCGCTTGCTCGGAGATGGTTTGGACTCGCTGGGAGATCTCTGAGCGAGTGAGCCACCACCGCGCATGCCAGATGCCGCCTTGCACGCATCCGACAGCACCTCACCGGCCCGTGACGGTCACCACAGCCTTTCCATTGGCCCCCTATTCAAAAAGTTTGAATGCCTCCTTCCATACACGCCTACCTGGACCCTAAGATCATCTGCAGAGGTCCTATGTGAGCCAACTCTAAAGCTGCAAAGAAAGTGGACCTTAAGATGGGGGTGCACTGCCTTTCTTTTTGTTTTACAATGGTTTTGCTTTTGTCTTTTCACATTTGTCTTAGCCTGAAATATTGGGGATGCACAACGATAGTGTTAGGCTACTGTAAGAAAATTTGGTGCCAGTCAATCAAGCTTTTCTACTTTGATCATGTCATCATTTGATCTATCTTGTAATGTGCATGAGTTAGGTATGGCAATAAAGATTTTGGCATAGACCAGGTGGCCAAATCCCATCTAGGCATAAAACACTCAGTTTGGAGGATTCCTTTTTCCTTCATTTTAGGCCTGATTTTGTATAACAGCAAGATATTACAACATTGCTGTTGGAAACTGACCTCTTGTTAAACAAGCAAAATAGTAACCACTTTATTATTTTTCTGTACAACCTTTTTTTCCTTTCAATTGAGCCACACACTTAATCATAGTTAATACCGATGCATTTACATAAAGCCATTCTGAATTTGAACTCTATTTGAAAAAATATTCTTTGTTTCTATAATTGTCTTAAATCGCATACTTATTCCAAATGCATAATAAGATTTCATACATGCATGCATATATTCACTGTTTTATCTTTTACCAGTTTACAGTCTCTGATTTGCACTATTAATTCTGCTGTTTGTGATAAAATGGACCTCATGTAGATGTTCACTTTCTGTTATTTTATGCGAAGAACAAATAGCACAACGAAACTCTCACTTTTCAAAAGAATATTTGCAAATTGCACTACAAGAAAAATGACTCAGCCTTCAAGATTTTTGTTGGTTTTCTGACGGGTTGTTTCAAGGGGACGACAGGATCAAGAGTAAAGGTGCCTGATCCACATTCAGGCAAAGGGGTAGGGGGAATCAGTTGGGTGGCTATGCAGGAAAGAAGCAGTACTGCTCAGCCCCCTTTTCTTGTTTTCACTTGCCTGATAGGAAACCCCAACATGGAACCCACAGGCCTGCTTGCTTGGTAAGAGTAGCAAGCAGTTCTCTGGTTCTGTGCTGCATACCATGATGGGTTATATTTCCTAGATCCAGGACACAACAAGCCTTCATGGTATAGAGATGCCATAGAACAGACTGTTTCTGTTCCTGGTTTCTAAAGGTCAGACCTACCTCAGTGAAATACCACAGTGGTATTCAGATGACACAACAGACCAACAATAGTAAGAAATGTTTTCAGCTTGTGTTGTGCAAACCCAGTCACTATGATCTGTGCAAAGTTCCTTTGAGTATGTGAGATTGTATAAAAATATATGGAACTGTCTAATACCAGGTCAAATTTAATTTTACATGGTAGTAGCTCTCAAAAGTCTTCAGATGGGTTTTCACATCATTTGAATCTTTAACTGGGAAACTGGAAATTCAGAGATTGCATCGGGGCCTTTTTGTGTGCAAAACAAGAGCCATACTACTGATCTGTGGCATTTTTTTCTCCATATGAAGGGACAGCAACAATGTCATGGTTAACATTCTGTCCTGTGTGCAAATTTGCATACTCTACATGTTAACTTTTAATCTGATTCAAGGTTTGGTCGGTCGGTCGGTTATTTATTTATTTATAGCTTTTCTATCCCATCTCCTACAGAACATCTCAGGATGGCTTACCATAAATACCATTTGTAAACCTCCCACTTCCCACCCACCATTTCACTCTCATGCACACATAGACACTTGTTCAGGCAACTTGAGAAGTCATGATGTTTTTCTTATTGTTGTTGGTCTGTTGTGTTGTCTAAATCCATTTGTGGTATTTCACCATACTAATTTTCGTATTTAGAAATCACAATAAAAACCAGTGACTTGTTCTACGATTTCTCTATACCACCATAGCTTCTCATGTTGTTGGAATCCAAAATCATGGTTTCCATAGCCCAAGTATGCAACTACCTCAGATTGCCTGGAAGCAGCAGCAACTGCAGGAGCCACACAAGCCATCCAGCTTTCATGTGCAGTCCATGGAGGAAGTAGGAAGCAACATAGCCAAAGAGCCGTGCCCCTTAGGGTTGAATTTCAGGCACAGTGGCTAATGGGATACATGCCAACAGTGGGAGATCGGAGCAGAGAGAATGGAAACCATGATAACATAAGAAACTACATGATCATCTGTTGGTTAGAGCATGATAAAAACCACATACAGTGGCATCCTCATGGAGTTGTTTGTGTGAACCCAGCCACTTTGTAAAGCATGTTTTAGTCTTTCAGTTCATACTACTATTGTCTGTGGTAGCTCTCCATTCACTGTAGCTCATAATTGAATTTTCCCTCTGCTCATTTTAGGAAACAGACCCAGACTTTGATCATTGTGCTGTCTGTATTGAAAGTTACAAGCAGAATGATGTTGTCCGCATTCTACCATGCAAGTAAGCCAACAGTTTCTTTTTCTTTTTGGAGAATGCTTTATACTTGGCTATTATATTAGTTTTTAAATCCTTTCCTCCCTTGTCTCTTTTGTCTTCTTTTAACACACTAGAACTTGGCTTCTGAGGGTTTCTATATAATTTGTGTGCATGACTTCCACCAAAGTTAGGTGGGAGAATCATATGAAAAGGGGCTGGTTCTGGGTATATTAAAAATGAGGTTTTAACTTTGTTGCAGAGGGTGAGAGAGTATAGCTACAGCTGATGTAAGGCGATTTACAAGTTCAGTACGTGTGAAGTATTTCAAAACTTAAACAGCAAAATAATGACTGTTCTTCAACACTTCAACAAATGGAAACATACTTAAGGCATGAATGGATTAAAGAAAAAAATTATTTCGCATCCAGAAGTAAAATGTGAAACCTGCAGTGATCACAGGGAATGTATTTGTTTTCATGAACAACAAAGCCATGTAACTGTTACATGCAAAGATTATACTATAAGAAGTTTAACTCTTTCTGAAGTCTGATAGAAAACTAGATTGGGAAAACTGCATTAGAACATTAAATGAAATAGCTTTGGTATACCATTGTTACAGTAGGCCTGACTAGCAACAGTTCAAATGGTTACTTATTGCAACTTAAATTTCCAGCCATTCAAACAGGATGAATGCAGTGTTTGAAAGTTTCAGCTATGTAGTTCTATAATCTTAGAGAAAGAAAGAAAGAAAGAAAGAAAGAAAGAAAGAAAGAAAGAAAGAGTGGTGACATTCATTTTTTATGAATGCAGAGGGACCTCTGCTTTTTGTAAGAGACCTCTTTTAAAATCCATAATCCAAAGTGTAGAACTTGGCTAAGTCCAGATAAGAAAATTAATCCAGGTAGGATGTGAAGAGAATGTTTCAATGTAGCAACAGGTGGTGAAGTCTGAGCCTCACCAGTGAGCAAAATAATAGAGAAAAACTGAATCCAGCTGTTCAACTTCGGAGCATCTGGCACCTAAAAGCTAGTTTAGAAATGATGGCTAGCTGCAGCCTTAAAAAATGAGGATGACGCTCTGACTGGGTTTGCAGAACATTTGAAGCCACAGTGGTTTATAAGCCATGGTGGTTTAGTGTACTGTTGGAACCCAGTAGTCTTTCGCCAGGATGGCTTATAAGATGCCTAGCCATGGCTCATAGTAGAATTTAATGAACTCACTATGGCGTATTGTGTTGTCCAAGCCCAGGCAACAAAATAAATCATGGTCACATTAAAAAAAAACAACCTCTTGGCCAGGGGAATGTTCATGTGGCCCTGGGTTGTCCTCACTTTTCCAAGTGCAAATAATACAAAAGTACTGTAATTTTTTAAAAAGACTCTCACACTGTGGCCAGAACTAAACTGACTGGCTACAGCTTAGGGGACATCCCAGTGCTTTTGCAGTGTTTCCTGTGATAAATCAGGAAGACTGGAATGGGAGGCTAGAGGATGGAGGAGGAAACATACAACCACGGCTGTGCTTGAGACACAGAGAAATTTTAACCACAGAGCATGGTTAAAATTCCAAAGGAGGTCAATGTATGTGCAAGTCCAGCAGCAGTCACAATAAGAGATTATATTTGATTGATTGATTTTTATCCCACCCTATTAACCATAAGGCTCCCTGGGTGACTATAGAGTTAATTCCCGTTTTCTATAGAAAGAAGGCAAGTATGCAAACAATGGCTCTTAAGGCCTAAACTTAGCAAAAGTTTATTACCAAAACCCATACCTATACAAACAAGGAGAAGGAGGGAAACAAGCAAATTTTTTCTTTGAGAGTTCAGTTCTTTTTTTATTCATTGACTCCCTTAAACCAATCATGGTTCCGTGTCCAGTTCTCACTGTTGCTTCTTGACCTGCATATAGGTTTCTCAAGAGACAAATAAGATGATCTGGAACTCCCATCTCTTTAAGAACCTGCCACAATTTGTTGTGATCCAAGGAATCAAAGCCTTTAGCATAGTCATTGAGGCAGAAGTAGTTGTTTTTCTGGAACTCCCTAGCTTTCTCCATGATCCAGCATATGTTGGCAATTCGATCTCTAGTTGGAAAACTGACCTTTTCCAATCCTGAGGCCACTGTTGAATTTTCCAAGTTTGCTGGTATATTGAGTGTAGCCTTTTACTGCATCGTCTTTTAAGATTTTGACTAGCTCAGCTGGAATACTGTCACCTCCACTAGCGTTGTTGTTGCTCAGACTTCCTAAGGCCCATTTGACTTCACATTCCAGGATATTTGGCTCGAGGTCAGTGACCACCCCATCTTGGTTATCAGGGACGTTAAGCTCTTTCTTGTATAGTTCCTATGTGTAATCTTGCCACCTCTTCTTAATCTCTTCTGCCTCTGTTAGGTCCCTGCCATTTTGGTCCTTTATCATGCCCATCTTTGCATGAAACGGTCCCTTCATATCTCCAATTTTCTTGAAGAGATCTCTGGTCCTCCCTATTCTATTGTTTTCTTCTATTTCTTTGCACTGTTCATTTAAGAAGGCATTCTTATCTCTTCTAGCTGTTCTCTGGAATTCTGCATTCAATTGGGTGTATCTTTCTCCCTTGCCTTTCACTTCCCTTCTTTCCTCAGCTATTTGTAAAGCTTCCTCAGACAGCCATTTTGCTTTCTTGCATGTCTTTTTCTTTGGGATGGTTTTAGTTGCTACCTCTTGTACAATGTTGCGATGTCTCATACAATACTCTTCTAATATTAGATTGTTCAGGCACCAAAATTTTCCTCTGCTTCTCTTTAAAGTATTCGTTTCTCCTGGATTGCAAGAGCTCTGATGCTTAGGGCTCCTGCCTCGTGCCTTTTTGGGAGTCATGTCAGAGCATTTCCTACCAGTGTCTCCGTGGGGATTTTCACCTTCCTTATCAGCAATGACTTCTGAGAGGACAGCTATGGAGATATCTATTAGAGGCATTTTAGACTGACTGCTGCCTAATGGGGCAAGGAGTAGGATTTCTGAGAAATATCGATGATTTATTTGCTCTAAAATGTGGATTCCCAATCTATCTTAATAAGTTCGTCTAAGTAAGAAAAGTATAATTCCTTCAGCTAGTTGATATTCTTCCAAAAATATGAATCTCTTCTTGATAGTAGTTTTGTAGTTTCTGAGGTATCTACAGGAGCCTAACAAAACTATCTGTAATATACTGCTTTGTCACTAATGCCATCCAAGATGCCCTTTGTTTGCAGCCCTATCCTTAGTGCTCCCCTCTCCCCCAGTCACCAGAAGACCTCTCTTGCAAAAGCGTTGGAGCACTTGCATGCCCTATAGGGGCAACCTAGCAACCCTTCATTCTTCTCCGCATGCTTTCACTTCAGTGACTATAGATATTGGAAGCCAAACTGGTCCTAGCAAAGGCAGATCCCAGTCATCCTTTTCTGACAGTTCTACAGCATCACAGTAAGGATTGTAATCAATTACATTTATGGTACCAACTTCTTGGTATGGCAAAGGCTCCAGATCTCCCTCACAATCTCATGAAATTGATGAGCTATAACAACCTAATTTACAACTTTTAATGAAAAATGGGGCAGAAGAGCATCTTCTGAATGTGTTTCTGCTGACTTCTGCAGAACCTCACTGTCAACCTCTTAACCAAGAACTGGTTTATACTTTTCCGTGTATGATTTCTGATACAAATAGTGTTTTAATTTAAATGGCAGAGTACACAGCAATTGTGAATAGTTGACATGTTTCTAAATATTAGCTCCCCTCACAATAAACATGGAAGCAAAAAATTAATAAAATATTAGACCTCAGCTTCTGTGTTGGTAAAGGGAAACATAGGCATTAAAAATGCAGACACTTTTTGCAAGTGGTTCACTAAGCATGCATTTCCCCACTTGTGCTTATCTTTTTACATCAGAATTCAAAAAATGAAGGCAGGATTCACCCAATGTGTTTTGTTCTGCCTTCAGACGGTTTTATGGTTTGATCTTGGTTCACTGTATGAACTTACTTTTCCTTTAGACTTTCTGATCTTTCTTAAACTGACGATCTTAGACTGCTCTTTCTTGGACTCTCCAAGACTGACAATAATGTAATTACAGTGAAAAGATGCTGAGATGCTGGAATCTCAATAGAGTCCTGCATCATGTACAGAGATGTTTCTCTTAGCCAGAGGGTGAAAGAGGACAAATAAAGCAGGTACTGCAAATTATAAAGTAGGAGCAATCTAATGAGAACTGTACATAAACCTGAGATAGATCTGAAAACACAACACTGTGTTTTTACTCAGTGTTTTTATACAGTTATCTAAAACTCATGAATTCCATAAAGATAGCAGAAACAAGTACAATTCCAGTCATACATATATATGCGTGTGTTCAAATTCCATTCATGAATAATAAATTCTGTACTTGTTCTCTCAACAAGATAGCTATCTTGTGCTGTTTTGGCGGTAGTCTTTCATAAATCTTTGTAGAATGATGATCAGTAATATATATAATTCCTCTTTGAAGTATTTTTCTACTTTTATTTCTTGAAATAGTCAGGTAGTTCTCATCTCTTCCCTTTTCTCTACCAGCAAAGCATGTCCCTGTACACCAGTGAAATATATTTAACCTGCAAACTAATATCCAGTTTTTAAAGTGCAGCTTGGTATGCAGCAAATGTTTGTGATGTAACTTGTTATAACTAAAGAAAGAAATTACTCATTCAGCTTGACAGTATCTTTAAAAATTATTTTACTTAGTTGTAGTTACCTTTAGATCCCTTGCTAATGTTCCTAATTTTGAAACTGTTTTTTGACTCTCCAGCTGTGTTTCTTACTGAAAAAATATAATTATAAATAAAGCATATACTCAAAACAAATGACTGAATTGTTCAGTTAAAACTTTGATAACAACTGTAAATAACTCATATAAAACTCATATAAAGAACAGGAAACTTACTTTGTAAAGGTTGTATTTACTTTATAAAGATGTATTTATTATGCATCTGTTTTAATGAATTCCTTACCTAACATATTGTAAGTCATATTTTAAATGGTTTAAATAATATCATCCTGTAGAGTACATTTACAGCATGCTAATCTCCTTAGTGACTGTCACAAATCCCGAGAAGCCTGTTCTTTTAAATCTTGCATACAGTAGTTCAAATAGCAGCCTGCATTCACCCCTCCAAGCCCTGTCTCAAATCCTGATGGCTTTTTGTTTGATAGGAAATGATAAGATATATCCTTGTCAATTTTCATTCCCTTGCAGTAAAAAGTAGTACTGAATTCTTGTCTGTAAGCTTTCTCATCTATGCAGACCTCTCCTCATTGGCTGGTTTTCTCTCAGCTGTAAATCAACATCATCTCAAGTAAACTGTTTATAACATGACATAATGCCCCATATATTCCCCCCTGCCCATTTTGGCAGCCATGTACATAAAATCATCTGCTCTGATACATCACTCAATATACATTCAGAGTTGGTTTATATAGGATTGAATGCTCTATTATTGTGTATACTCTAGACCTTGCTTCTCTTCTCCTGTTCTTTAATGAACTTTAGTCAAATGGCTATTCAGGCTGGCCTAGATTTTAATCATACATTCAAGTACCAGGTCGTTCTCTCCACCTGCCCTGCCCCATGCATGGAACATTAGCAAGAGACCTAAAGGTGACTGTGTATCTAGAATGTTTGGACTATACTTTAAGGCTTATGCTACAGGAGGGGAAATAGTATAATTGCTTGGCCAGTAGAGATTGGGGATTTAGCTAGCTGACTCCTACTCTAGTATACGTTATGACTTAAGTTTGGCTATAAGGAGAGAGGGTAAAAAAAAAAAAAAAGAGTAAAGTGGATACTTTGTCAGTGAGCTACCCTATTGGGCTAGTGCTAGAATGACTGTTTTCTGTCTTCATAGTGAAATATTCTCTAAACAAGATGGCATCAAAATGATAAATGGATATTATTAGTAAACAAGCTTGCTAGTGAACATCTTTAAGTAACTTTGCAATTACAGCCTTCCCAAATTTATGTTAAATTGTGCTCTGTAAGTAATTTAAAAAGGCATACTCCAAGCCAGATGTATTACAGAAACTGCCTAGAAAAAGATCTAGTGCTATTTTGAACAAGATGGCCCAAAACGAAAGATTTTTTTCCTATGGTGCCTTTTAGTTAAGCTATAATCATGTCCGGTGGGTTTTTAATAACAACAGCAGTACAATTTTTTGTTATTGGACCATCGTGAAACTGGTACTTTTTTTAACACGGCAGCATTCCGCTGAATTTTAGTAGGATTCCGTTAGCTGTGATTATGAGAAATCTTGTTTGGGACAGATTTTATATCAGCAAAGTCCTGTGTACTTTGTATCAGGTTGAAACTAAATCCTGCAAGATACATTTCTGCTACATGGTTGTGCATGAATTTTATGACCAAGTAGAAGCTGATAACTTCATGCACATTTTAAAAAGGAATACAAACAATATACTTCAACATAAACTTCATATTAGATGAAATTTCTTTTTCTATCTAGCATCCTGCTCACAGAGAGGAGCTTAACATCTAACAAATGAGGCAGTTAAAAGAACCCTACACATTTGGCTTGGGATAGATAGTCCCATGTAACCCAGCTGTATTCTTTCCCAGTAGCTGCTATATTTGCATATACCTTTTTAACATAAGCAAAATTACTAACAACCTCCTGTGGTCAGATTTTGATGGATAGTTGAATGTTTTTCTTTCTTTTTTTTTCTTGTTGGTCTTTACTTGCTTCTTGAGTTGTTTCAGGTAATTGTGAGAAGATAATAGCCTGATTAACAGTTGAGGTTAATACATCTCATTGATTTGCAGATCAGCATCTGTCCTGAAGTGGTATGGTATTTCTGTGCACATGACAAACATATAGAAAAGGTGTTTATTGTTTACATGTAAGACAAAGCTAGGTTTCTTTTTTAAATAGGCATGTTCTTAAAACATGTTTGCCTTAATAACTATTTGAAATAGAAGCAGGGCAGTTTCTATAGTTGGGCAGTTTTAGAAAGAAAAGTAGTTCTTGCAATTTTTTTCCTGAATTTGTTTAAAAGAAGCATATTAATGTCTGAAGGGTTTTGTAGTCATGCAGTCAGTTTAAGGTTTCTAAGTTTCAGGCACTCATTCAAGACAAGTTTCTCAAAATTTGTATGTCAGCCACATGTTGCAAAAATGGGGGGAAAGATATTGCGATTGACCAGGTTTAGACAACACAATACCGCTCACTGTGGATTGCATATCACATCAGGGTTTTGTTGTACACCCATTCAGTATGAAATATTCAAGGGTTGCACAACCTTCACATAAACCTGAAACAGACTAATGATTTATGGTTTATGCATAGCTTGTTTAACTCTTGCATAAGCCACACTTACTGGATTTGCACAACAACCCCCAAGTAGGAGTTGCATATCCAAATGGCAGCCATCTGCACCACAGTGTCACCATGGGTTAAATAACCCACCATGTGCTGGTGTGTTTCTAAACAGCTTATTAGAAGTTTATTATAATATCAATATGCACCTTATACAACATGGAATATTTCCTGTTCTGAAGAAGATGGTTTGCTGTTCAGATGAGTGAATTTCTTGAGAATTGTGATACTTAAATTAGCAGGCTAACGCTTGACTGCTGGTGCTGCAGTATCTGATGCTATAGCTGTGTTACTCACTGCAAAGCCCAAGGGCCACTGCCAACTCCCAGTCATCTCAAGTTTAGCTCTCTTCCTCTACCTTGCACTTAGTTACTGTCTCTCAGCAGAGGCTCTTTTACTTTGCCCTCTTGTTTTCTTTAGTGGTAGGATAGTTGCTGTGATTTGAATTACCAGTGAGAATCCAAGTCAGGAGACCTGCCATTCCTCAGCTGCAAGGTGGCTACAGAGGAGGGTGGGAAGAAGAGATTATAGGAGCAACGATCTGATTAGCTATAGTAGGGAGGAGCTCAAGACACAAAGAGCAGCATGCTTACCTAGCTGCACTTTTGCACCTTTATAGCCAGTGGAGATTGAGGGAATTGTTGAATATGCAGGCAAGATTGAAGCAGCGTGGACCTATACTAAGAGTGGCCCCAGCAGTTGAAAGTGCCTGGAACTAGAGCAGCTCCTGCTTGAAAAAACAGTCAAGATGATTGCACTCTAGGATTGTTCAAGTGAAGTGGATATGAATGTGATCAAAATGTGGGTGCTAGCCTTCTTCCATGAACTGCCCTGCATTTATTTACTTAAAATATTGGCCTGCTGTCTTCTATTGGTGATTTCAAGGTTGTTTACAAAAGCAACTGGGATATAAAGGTACAGGAATAACCTTTGCTTGTGTTTGCATTGGTATACTCACGTACTGCTAGGAAATGTGTGAATAAGCAATCAATGCAATTATCCCTGGGAATAAGGACAATGTGTGGGTGAGATGCCCCCCCCCCCCATGCTTGCTTATATACTTTGAGCAGTGTGAAGCAGGGAAACAACTCTTATGTGGCCAGGTACACATGTGCTGGGATTCCAAACATTTCCTATGAACATATTCAGAAGTACTCTCCTCAGTATGTCATACATGGCCAGTTGCTCTTTTTTCTCTCCTAATTTTTTTAATGATTTTTTTTCTTTCAGAGAAGAAATTGGTACAAGCAAAAGTTATATGTGAAATATGGAAATAAGAGACCCAAATGGCTCATTAGTATTCATGAGTGCCTGTTTAGTCATTCAAAATTGCTAATAATATTCCAACCTTTCTAGAATTTCTAGTCATTGTAATGGTTTAATCTTTGTTGTGCTTGTTGGTTTATTTTTTAGGCATGTTTTCCACAAAACCTGTGTAGATCCATGGCTCAGTGAACACTGCACTTGCCCTATGTGTAAACTGAACATTTTGAAGGCCCTGGGAATTGTGGTGAGTTAAGGCTCATTTAAACAGGAAGATAATTTATTTTCCAAAAATATCACAAATTACTAAATTTACCCAAAAGAGGACAGGGATTTGAGGGTGTTTAGCCATTCAATCATTTGTGTGTAATTGTGGTATAGTCCCAACTTTCAATTTTGGAAGTAATGACCAATAGAATTTAAAAGTTTGTGCTTATATTCAGCTAAAACCAAGATGTAGAAAACCTTTTCCTTGTTTGTAGCTTGTTATCTTCTGATTTTTCCCTTGGTCATGGAATCTGATTGTTTCAGGAGAAGTACATAAGCCTTAAATAATGACCCCCTTTATTTCATATGTATTACTGTTAGCTAAATATGTTCTATGGAGATTCTAATCCAGTGGTCCCTTGGAGAGTATCTCATGGACCATAAGATGGCTCATAAATGCCTTCAGAGATCTGAAATCTCACAAGTGGGAATTGGAAATATCACTCCAGACCCCTCTTTCTCATACCTGGCAGAGAAAACAGTGCTAGCTGTCTTTCAAGGTTAGAAAAAGAGCCTGATAAAGAAGATGTTCTGGGGGTACTGAAGGTGACTGGAGAGGCTATAATTTTTTTTTGTCCAGTTATAAACCCCTAGGCTTCTAAGGCTTGCATTTAGAGAAACCTTTCCTACTATTGTTAGCCTGAGGTGAACACTTGCCAAGTTTTGGCTGAACCTCATTTATTTAAACTTAGTACCTCCCTGACTACCTGATCTATCCTTATAGGAACAAAGGGGGACAGAAAGATGCTGCGTTTAGATAAACCTGGAACAGCCCAATTCATTTGTTATTATTTTGTCCATAGGGTGGGGGAACAAAGCATACATGCAACTGTGAATAATACATTTCTGGGAGAAACTTTCAGCATAGTCACGTCTGAAGAACGTGTGTGGGTCCTAACCCTAAATTCTTGCTTCTTAACTCCTGTTGCCTTGGATGTAAAATGTAAACTGGACTCATAGAGGAGGAGACTTGGTTGGATGAGTGATTTAGATATCGGCCGTGCCATGGGGTACTTTAGGTTATTTCTCAATAAATTATCTTTGCTTTTTGTTTTTTACCAGAGGCATTGAAGGACAAACTAACCTCTAATTAAAGAGATAATAGAGAATTATGTTTAGCTTCTGTCAAGTCAGACGCATTTGGGAAGAAATCTGTCATCATTCTTAGACCTCTGTCAAAAGCTTTCAGCCTATTTTAGAGATTTAGATCTTATATCAAAATATATTATAGCATTACCCATAATGAGTTTGTGCTGTTGATGACAAAGATGTACAGATATATTTTGGCTAAATTAGCACATTAAGGACACAAAGTCCAAAAAGGAAACCATTTTTATGACACGGCAGTTAAGTGACTAATTGCTAAGGTAAGCACTCTTCTTGACTTCTCATAGATTTACAGAATGTTGCTGCAGAATTTTAGTAACACTTGGAATAACAGCATATAAGGTAGCTCATATCTTTGCCAGCAGCTGCCAAAAGGAAAGGGTGTTTGGCATCAGTATTATGCAGGCATGGGGCTGAGTTGGTTTGGACTTATCCACTATAATATACAGAAATTCAAGAATGTACTCCCAAGTATATCTTGCCATCTCCTTCTTACTTTTGAGCTGGACAGCATATACATCATATGAATAGTTTAAACACTGACACAACAGCATATGATTACAGGGTTTAAAAATCTGAATATGTGGTTGGTTCCTGCCTTCCAGTTGCTACTAAGCTGAAACAGTTTGCACCACCCCACCGCATTGTCCACTGTTGAGTGCTTGTATAACCCACAGTCAAAAGACAGCTAAACATTTCTGTAATTTTATTACATACCCTGAAGTATGCCTCATTTCCCAGCAGCTTACAGTAATGAATTATGTTAACATAACAATACTGTATTTTCAGACAAATGTGCCATGTGCTGACAATATGGCCTTTGACATGGAAAGGCTCACCAGAGGCCAACTAGGCAACAGGAGATCAGTACTTGGTGATCTTAGCAGTGATAGCTCGCTCACTCTGGAGCCTTTGCGTACTTCTGGAATTTCACAATTTCCACAAGATGGGGAGTTGACTCCAAGGACAGGAGAGATCAACATTGCTGTGACTAGTAAGTGAAGCATGGTTTTAATTTGAGAATGACAGGTTTTTCTGCATCTTTAGAGGTGTTCTTCATTAACAGAACACATATATACACAGCTGTTTTTAAAAGCAATTTTCAAGGAAAAATGTAAAAATATTGTGTTTGAATAAGATTAGACTTGAACAGGATCAGTAAGAAGTCTGTGAACTTGGAAATGGTTTTAGCAAAATCTAATGGTTAAAAATTATCCCATATTGGTTAGAAATATAGGTACCATGAAGGAGTTGTTTAAATGGTTAGCAGTTAAGACGCTTAAAGTATTAAGTTGGTGCTTCCTTCCATTGGCTGGATCTAAACCTTCAGGTGACTAATCAAAGCATGCTGTCATCTTTTTCTTACATTTTTGCATTTGATGCACTTAAAATAGTTCATAAAATGATAATTGTCAGAACAATCATATGATTGCTTAAAGAGTGCAACAGTCAGCCTGAGAAGACAGACTTGCAGTAAATAAAGTCTAGTTTATTAATTGTGATAGGCCTCTGGCTATGGGGTGGCATACAAATGTGGTAAATAAATAAATAAGCTACGGAGTACGTTTTGTGCAAATTGTGACACTGTACAGTGTTTAAATCAGATATGTAGAACCTATTTCAGCCTGAGAGCTAAAATTTATTTTGGAGAATCTCAGTGACTGCTTTTCATTAGTGATTCTGTTGTCCTGTTCTAAACTCTGGCAAAGTTCACACATAATGACTGATCAGGGTTGTTGGATTCTGGGTTGCCTTGTGGTGTGAATCTAGATGCACTATGGTTTGTTAACCACAAACAATTCAGAAAAAGAACTGTTGGCTTTTCATGGGTTGTTTCACCAGGCCACATAGGTTCTACATGCAAGTACTACAGCACTGCAAACGTATTTAGAATACAGCGAGGGGAGTGATCAAAGGAGGAGGGAGACAAATAACTCCCCCAGGACAAATACTGTAAAACAAGTGAACTTTCTGCTGGACAAACTGGATTTTTTTCTGTCTCTTGGTTGCAGAATCTAAACCCCAGCTGAAAGAATAGAGTCCTAACTTTGTTTGATCTTGCTGCAGTTTCTCAAGTATATTGCCAACCTGCCTTTCCTCTCTCTCTCTCTCTCTCTCTCTCTCTCTCTCTCTCTCTCTCTCTGTGTGTGTGTGTGTGTGTGTGTGTGTGTGTGTGTGTGTTCTCTCCTCTGGTGTTAAGCTTGGCCTGGCCTGTTCTTTGCTTAGTACAGTAAATGTATCCTCTTTCAACCTTGCACACCAGATAATACTGCAGGTTGTGAGTAAACTGCAGTATGTGGTTTGTCAAATCAGCATCAACGGTTCTTGGAGTCCTCCCTTGGTGCATGTTGTAGAGTGTTATCGTATTTTATTAGCTAAATGCTTTTCACATGCTATACATTTTGAAAGTTTTAGAAGGTAGATGAAAATAACCTGAGTAGAAAGATTTTGCACATTGTTTGAGTAGCAGCTAATTACAGGGGGGAGTGTTAAAGCTAACATGACATGTTAGTAATCTATGCTTTTGCATAGTGCCAAGCAGTTTGCAAGAACCACCTTATCCCCAATATTTCCCACCTTACTCACATGGGTTGCAAACACCCAGGGTGTGACACATTTTGCTTTGCTAATTTAAGAACACAGAACATTCAAAAGCCATGCTGGATCAGACCAAAGTCCATCTAGTTGGGCACTCCATACACATGGTAGCAAATCAACTATCCACTGGATCTCTCAAGTAGAATGATTGTAAGACCTCCATTTGCCCAAGCAAATCAGCAACTGGTGTATGCAGACGTGCCATCTCTGCTAAAGAGGTAGCACATAGCCAGCAAAGCTGGTAGCCACTGATAGCCTCTTCCTTCATGAATCTGGCCAATCCCTTTTTAAAACCATCCAAGTCGATGGCCATCACCACATCCCATGGCAGTGAATTCCATAGTTCTTCTTTGTGGTCTTACACATAGGGGTACTGTATCCTCACAGTGCCTCTGTTCAGGAATATTCTCCTAGCTAAGCCTAGAATTTTCTCCCCCTGTCTCCTAGTAGGAAGGGTTCCTGCCATTACCCCCAGTTTGCTTTCAACCACCATTTGTAGGGCCTCGGGATTCCTAGCAGCGCTTTTCATTACTTCCCTCAGCTATGTCTTACACTATTCTCAACTTTGCTGTTTCCCTAGCTGTCTTAGAAATTTTTCCCTTGAGTTAGTCTTTTCACTATTCCTTCAAATCTTTCAAAACTTTCATAGTTTCCCTGTTTTTTAACCTACCCCACCATTTACCTCTCAAAACAAACAAACAGAACCTATCATCTCCCTTTACCTTAGAAATTCTGTCCTCTTCCTTCTCTTTCCCTCAGTCTCAATGGCCATCTATGGATGGACACTCACTTTGCTTGTTCTGCCTCAGCAAGGAGCACTGAGTTGACTCATGCCCACGTTGCCAGGCATTTATGAAGCAAGCCCAAAAAAATATGGCTGCCACCTGAAACCTGAGATGTGGACAAAGGCTCCTGGTGTTATGCTGGCTGTCACAGGTGAACCCAAAGACTATCCATCCACCTCCCATGGAGTCTTGGAAACTTACACCCCCTCTGCAGCAGTAGGTGTACTGAAAACCGCTCCTTCGGCAACCAAAAAGCCAATGAGTGCTGACAACACGAGAAAGCATAAGGATAAAAGATGGTAGAAGAGCCCGGAGTGGCTAAAAATCAGGCAAGGAAAAGCCTGCCATAAAACTGAGACACTGCTCTCCAACCACTGCAGAGTTTTATTTTGCCTTTCCTACAAGCAGCCCTGGCTACCATTACAGTGAAGACATAATGGGAAATTGTAAAGTCTTTCTCCTTGAGCAACAACAGCAACTCACCAGAGTGTTCATATCCAAGGCCATGCAGCTGTCCAAACAGCAAATAAACACAGCACATGACCACGTTGACTGTGACTCGAGGGCCTTTGTTGGCACAGTGGCAATCCGAAGGCATGCATGGTTATATGCTGCCAATCTCCCACAAAAGACCTCATCTCACACAGAAAATATGTCATTCAACGGGGAAGAGCTCTTCCACTCCAGAATGGAGAAAGAACTGGACACTACCCAGAAAGCCAGGGTGATTGCTAGGCAGATGCATTCAGCCCTTTCTGACCTCCAAGAGCACATGAGTGGCCATGTGGCCAACCCACACAATACCAGCCCTACCAGAGCTCCATTCAGTTTTCTGGAGACCACCACTGACAGCAGCTTCCGATGGCCCAACAGTGATGCTGAGATACCAAACTCAACCCTCTAAAAGAAGACTAGACACTGCGAGGAAGCAGCATTGACAGGTAGTGGCAACCAGTCTCCCATTCTACCAACTCTATTTGGCGACCGTGTAAAAGACTATTTTCCCAATTGGGGAACAGTTACATCAGACTGGTTAGTACTATCCATAATATAAAACAGAGGCAAGATCTGATTTGAGACCTTACCACTCTTCAGGATGGTCTGCCCAACTCCTCCTTCTCCAACCCTAATGGAGGAAATTAATACTTTATTAGCAAAGAGAGTGATCCATCCAGCTGACTGATCTGAAGTACAGCATGGTTTCTATTTGAGGTACTTTCCCATTCCAAAGAAGGATGGTGGTCTTCATCCGATATTAGGGATGGAGTCAATTACTTTATCCCAAACAGAAAACTCCAGAAGGTCTCCCTACAAAATATTTTGCCACTGTTATGGCAAGGGGACTGGTTTGCATCAATAGATTTAGAGGGCACATATTTCCATACTGCTATCCATCCAGACTATTGCCATTTCTTGTGTTTTCAAATTGGTTCTGAACTTTTTGAGTTTTGAGTGCTACCATTCAGACTGTCAACAGCGCTAGTATTTATGATATGTATGGCTGTTGTCTCTACCCACCTATGGCTAAAGAACGTCCAGTCTACCCTTATTGGATGTCTGGTTGTTAGTCACCCCGTCCAAGGACATCCTCCTACTCTCCATCCAGAAAGCATGCAGCCTCCTGCATAGACTCAGACTGTGCCTTAACAATGAAAAAATTATGCTGCATCGCATAGATGGGGGGGGGCTGAAGTGGACCCTTTCTTAGCTTGGGCCTATCTACCTCTGAACCATGTGTGGAAACTTACCAAGTCAGCCTGCTACCTCCTGTCCAAGCCAGCACCCACCATCCAGAGAAACCAACAATTGCTGGGCCATATGGCGGCAACAGTAGCAGTAATCCAATGTGCATGATTCCGCATGAGACTAATTCAGTTGTGGTTTATTCAAACATACTGTCCCCACCACAATTCACCTTGGGAAGTTCTGGAACTCCCCTGTTCTGTGAAGACCCTTTCCTGGTGGACATGCAAGCTCATTTTGACTCAGAGTCTATCATGCCTGTCATGTCACCAGAGCCAATGCTTACTTACTGTGACTATGGACACATCCCTCACTGACTGGGGTGTCCACTGTGGTCATTACCAAATGCAAGGCCTATAGACTGGTCAGGACTGAGGAAGGTGTATCAGCCATCTCAAACTCCTTGTGGTCCACAAGGCACTAATTTCAGTCCAACAGATCGTTTGTTATGCCATTGAATGACAAACATATGCAAGTTGCTTCAGATGACACCACTGTAATTTTCTACCTCAACAAACAGGGTGGCACTAGATCCACATCTCCAGCTCAGTTGACTGTCCACATATGGGACTGATGCATCCATAGGAATATAACCTTAATTGCCATTCACCTGGCAGGGGTTTGGAACACCACAGCAAATGACCTCAGCTGGGTACCATATGGGATGTATGAGCATGAATTGAACTGAGAAGTCAGGGACAACATCTTTGCTGTTTGGGGCACACCATCCATTGATCTATTTGCAATGACAGGCAATGCAGCATGCAAGGCTTACTCCTCGTGGGCCAGAATCAGCCCCAACTCTCTCAGCAATGCCTTCCTCATTCCATGGAAGGGAATTCTTTTCTATATGTTTCCACCCTTTCCTCTAATTACAAGACTAATTTCCAAAATCAGAAAGGACAGAACTTGCTGCTTCATTATAACACCATGGTGAGACAATCTTGGTTCACAAGTCTACTTCACCTGTTGAATCACACATTTATACACCTTCTGGACACACTAGACATTATATAGCTGAATTGAGGCAAGATTCTGCACCACGATGTGAAGATGTTCCACCTGACTGCTTGGTGGATCATTTGGTAGCAACAAGGACTGATCTAGATCCACAAGTCCAACTCTCATACTGCAAGCAGCACTGCAACCAAATAGTAGTTGATCCTATTCCATTAAATGGAACACTTTCAAGAATTACGCTAAAGAATGTGTTTTCAAGCCGGCAGAGTCCCCAATAAATAAAATTCTAGACTTTGTTCATTCCTTACATGTCAGAGGTCTAAAACCCTCTTCTATCAAAGTTTACCTTTCTGCCATCTCATTCATGAGAGTCCCAACCAATGGATTGTTAGTATTTTCTCATCCCCTGTCACAGAGATTAATAAAAGGACTATACAATTTAAATCCACCCATCTGGACAGTAGTACCCAGTTGGAGTCTATCCATTTGCATTGTACACCTTGACAAGAACCCCTTTTGAACCACTTGCTACTGTGGACCTTAGGCTGCTCCCTTTGAAAGTTTCATGCCTTGTGGCTGTCACATCAGCCCAGAGGGTGAGCAAGCTTTGCGCTCTATGAGTAGACCCTCTATACCTGACTTTATACAAGGGAAAAGTAGTCCTTCAACTAGATCCAAACTTTCTTCCAAAAGAAGGCATGTTTCCACCTAAATCAGAATATAGTATTCCCAGCCTTTTTCCTGGCTGCATCCACATCAGTTGAAACTGCACTGCATACACTTGGCTTATGAAGGGCACTGGCCTTCCATGGACCCCCTAATGAATCAGTATGACAGACTAAAAGCGCATAACATAGGCAAACTATTCCAAAGGTAAACCGATCTATCCACAGCATCTGGCCCACTGGATCGTGGAAACAATTAAGCTAGCTTACCAGTTTGCACAACTAGAGGTCCTGCACCTGCCAAAAGCCCACACAACTAGGGCTGTGGCAATTTCCACTGCTCTCCATGTGGGCATTCCTCTACAACACTTCTGTAAAGTGGCTACCTGGTCAGCACCATCAATATTCCTGAAACATTATTGACTTGATGTTAAGGCAAGGCAAGACTGCTCTTTTTGCCATGCAGTACTGTCTTGCATTCTTCAATGAGAACACCTCCCATCTCCATATTTAGTAAGTCTGCTTGTCACCCATAAGTGTAGTGCACAGAGACCACGAAGAAGGTAAGGTTGCTTATCTGTAAATGTCATTCTTTGAGTGGTGATCTGTGGCTTTCACACAACCCACCCACTGGCCCCACATCAGTGTTGGTGGTTACTTAGGAATTCCCTTCTAATCTGTAGGGCAGCCTAGTTCCAAGGCCAAATGTTGGTCTCCTTGTGAACTGAGGGAAATGGCAGGAGCCCCGCCTATTTTTAGTAGGGGAAGTGGGCGGGGCTCCTGCTGAAAATTTTAGATTTAGCTAGGAGAATCTTCCCAAATGGAGGCATTACACAGGCCCAGCATCCATATAAGTGAATGCACAGATGATCATTTGAAAAATGACAGTTACAGGTAAACAATCTCTCTTTTTACTGTACATTGTATAAAGAAATACTTCCTTTAATCTGCCCTTAACCTCCCACCAGTCAGCTTCATGGGATGACTCTGGGTTCAAATGTTATGTGTGTGAGAGAAAAATGTCTCCCTCTCCACTTTCTTTATACCATGCATTATTTTAAACACCTCTATTATGTCTCCCTGTACTTGCCCTTTTTCTAAACTAAACTGTGCCAGAAGTTGTAGCCACTCCTAATAAAGGAGTTGCTCTGGTTAGATAGGTAGTGTTGGAAAACCTCATACATGTCAATATGACTTTGATTAACAAAACTAGCTTCAAAATAGTGATATATTGAAATATTCCTACATACCCAGTTCAGTTACTTTATAACAGAATGGCTCTGCCATCTTGAGAATGAACAATACATCTGTTATATTGTACCGTCTTCTTTCTTTCTGATTGCTTGCATGCCTAGAGTGTGTTTTGAATAGTGAGTTAGCAACTCTAGGGAGATTTTTTACTAGGCAGAGAAGACTTACAATATCCTTAACCACTTAGCTGATTGTCCAAGTATTCTAAAACATTTAGTCACTGAAAAATAATTGAACACACACCTTCAAAAGCAAACACATTAATTTGGCCTCCTGAAGCCATTTTGTGTCTGTCCTGACCATTCAAAAAATAGAGATCCCAGTAAAGGAGAAGAAATGCATTGAACATGTCAAGTGCTGCTGTGTGCAACATTTTCAGATTAATTTTGATCTGTGTACCAATCTGTTGTGGTGGTGAGAGTGTTGGACTGGGGATCCAGGTTCTGGTCCCCACTAGGCCATGAAGTTTACTCTCAACCTATCCTACCTGACAGGCTTTCAGTTGTGAAGATAAAATGGAGTATAGAAGAGATATATAAGCCACCTTGAGTTCCTTGCAAAGGAGAAAAAGGCAGGATATAAATGCAACATAAGCATCATCATACATTACACTCATTTCTGCGGCACAAAAAATTAAAATGCATCAACTAATTAGAAACAGTATACAAATCATAATCCTTTTAAGATGTCACTCCTTTAATAATTTTAAACAAAATTATACTTAAAATTGTGCATGATTGACTCCACATCGAATTTTGCTTTTTAAAAGAGTTAAATTAATTTCTTTGTGGATAAAGGAGATCAAACAATGAAAGTGATTCCATGTGTATACATGGGTGTGTGCTGTCAAACACCTTTAAATACCGGCCTCATTCGAAGATACTCAATCTTGGCATACTTTAATTGCAGGTAAAACTTTTGCTTGTACTTTCCTTATTTTGCATTTCACATTAATAAATCATTTATCACCAATGGCTGGGCTCTACTGATGGATATTATTGTACCATGCCTATTTTTCTCACTTCTCCCCATAACTTCTTTGCTGGCCTTCTTCATTTAGTTCCTTCTGTGGCTAACCTTCTGCTTTCCTCTGGAGCTTCACTTCCTGGTTTCTCTCATACCTAGAATTGTTGTCTTTTGCCCCTGATCTTTGAGGGCAATGTTGCCATCGATTTGACATAAGCCTTCTTCCACGAGTGACTTCCTCCTTTCCTTTGTCAACAGAAGAATGGTTTATTATTGCCAGCTTTGGCCTCCTGAGTGCCCTGACACTCTGCTACATGATCATCAAAGCCACTGCTAGCTTAAATGCTAATGAGTAAGTAAATGTTTAGATTATGTGCTTGTGTGTGTGCATAACAGAATTGGGAAAAAGTGACAAGTGGAGGAATAGAAGACATTTGAAATCATCCAATCTACAGTGTTCTCCCATTGTCCTTTTGGTTCTAATATCAACTGACTACAACACTGAGGATATTGATGGATTGGATTGGAATGCCACCTTTCTACCTGCCCACCCCAAAAGGGCACTAGGATGCTAAGAACAGGCTTTTCATAGGAAAGGCCATAATACATTCAAATTGACTTTGTCTTTTGGTATATTTTTGCTTTTTAGCTCTTTATTTATATATATGTATGTACACACAAATTTAGTTTTAGCTGAGCTTGTATTACCTTGCCTACCATCAAAGGTCAGTTGTAAGGTTCAGTGCTTCTGTAGACTAAGCAAATCTACCCTAAGAACAACTGTTTGTTCAGACTCTTTGAGAAAGCAACAGAATAATATTTATCCCCCTCATCACAGCAAAATAAACTTGATCGGAAAAGTTATAAAGCACAAGAAAGCAATTGGGGCATTATTTGTTACTGCCTATTTCTATTTCATTGGGTATATATTAAAAATTGTATGAGTAGTTTCTGGTCCTGTGATCAGTCTGCTGTAAATGGGATGGAAAAAGTGTATGGGCCTATATATCTTACCTAACTGAACATACACAACAGTTTTCATGGCAAGTGATGAATGTATGAGCTGAAGGCTAGTCCATATACCCTGCTACATATAGGAAGCACATGACCAAGCCATGTCTGAGAAAGGTTACCAATTTTAGTGCTCTCTGGAGCTGGAAAAATGATAATGTATAGCCCAGGTATTTAAAAAAAACTTTCATTGGGCAATTGCAGGAATAGTCTGGTAAAATGTCAGGTAAGACACTGGAGTTCCACTTTAGTTTAGCCACTAATTTCTTTCAACTTTATAGTCATGTTTTCCATTCCATTAGTACTTGTGGTTTCAAGTTGTTTCACTGAAACATACGATAGTTAACATTAAACACAGTCAGTTTAGATGGTATGTCAAGCAAACACAGAAAGCTTCTAAACTCCTCCAGTAGGGGAAGTGCACAAGCCTGAGGCTTGTTGTGGATCATTCTTGTCATGCTAAACCATGATTTAACGTGACTTTCAAAAAACCATCTTTATGCAGTAATTTCAGTAGCTATTAATACAGAATTCTGTTTGAATGGTTTCATGTCCTTAAAAAAGTCAGGAAGAGCTCATAAATATTTCCTGTTGCTGAAAAAAGCTACTTTTAAGTCGATTCTAAGTAGATGGATCTCTCAGTGGAGACACAGAAATTGTATATTTTATATGATTACACAGAGGTTTGGGAAGCATAGAGAATATCTGCAGTATGCCTTCCAGACACTGAGACCATGTTCATACATAACCGTAATTCACATTTATTGAACCCATGAATTATTGACTTCTGGGTGGTTGTGATATGTTAACCCAATAACCCAGAAAAAGAACCCATGGTTTATTCTTGAGCTGTGAATTCTGAAATATTTAAATCTGTCACTGCATCTGTAGCCAGAACTATGGGTTTCTCATGGGTTGTTTTGCTAGGCTACAAGGGCAGTGGACAGGAGTGGTTCAGCTGTTCTACATGCCAGTACTACAGCACAGCAAAGCAATAGGGGACAATAGGGAGAGAGCTGGTAAAGAAGAACTAGCCACAGTTTGTTTAATTGTCTCACAGACAAACTCTAAGTAGGACAACAGCCTATGGGTTAACCATGAGTATGGGTTAGTGTCAAGCATGAGCCATTTCTAAGTTTGGAGGTAGAGATGGTAACTAGAATTCATTGCTTGCTCCTGATTTTTCTGAACCTGTCTTTTGACTCTTTGAATATCAATGTAGTTACTATTTGTAGGAATATATATATAATTTATATATATGCCTTCCTTTCCATTGGTTGGAAGCATTTAGTATGAAGCAAATATTTTTACTTGGTAGTTGGTTCAGATATTTAGCTCATAATTGATTTAAACATTTGAGTTATATATTAACAGTAAAATATTATTACTGATGGTTCATTATTTTACTTTCTTACAGAGCTGAATGGTATTGAAGAAACAGTCCTACCAACTGCTTCGGAGAGAACACAACTTTTTTATGTATAATATACTGATCATGTTACTTGAGCATATGCTTAGCGCTATTTTCATAATTTGCTAATGCCAAAGCTTTGTATTAAGAGAAGGATCAATAAAAATTTAGTTATAAAAACTTAGTCTGAGATTTATTATTGTGCAATCATTTTGCAATGAAAGGTGTGTGCCTTCTAATCCAGTGAATGCTTCAGCCTGATTTTACTAAATGTGCATGTATAGATTGGACCTTTAACTTTCACTTCTCTTCAGTGCACATCTGTTTGAGAAATTAATGTTCACTTGGTAGAATCCAATGAAACACTAGCAAAAGCAAGACAATTCTTCTTGCTAAAGGTAGGCAAAACTGACTTCAATCTATCCCCCCCTCCTCTGCAGTCATTACAGGTCTTGTCTTTGCCACATCTCATTCTCTGGATGTCCTCCAGCTCTGAGGCTTCTTAGGGTCTGTAGCTGGAAGGAGGAGGCAGGAAATTTCCATTCCACAAGTAGAAATGCACACATGAAACTTGGAGCAAAAAACTTTAATTGAAGCCAGAATTTGTATGGAGACAATAACAAACTTACGTTACAGGAAACCAGATTCAGGTTAGGTACCAGGAAGAGTTTTCTTACTGTCAGAGCAGTATAACAATGGAACCTATTACCTAGGGAGGTTATGGGCTCTTCCACACAAGAGGCATTCAAGATGCAACTTGACAGACATCTGAATGGGATGGTGTAACAGTGTAATTTGGTGTCCTGGACTAGCAGGGGGTTGGGCCCAATGACCTTCTTGGCCCCTTCCAACTCTACTATGATTCTGTGATCTGTAATACCAAGTGAAAGCATAGCATTTCTCTTGTAACATCACATAGCACATTATTTGCCATTGATTGATTCTTCATAAAAGTTTAGATAATACAGGGTAATTTAAACATTTTAGTGGCTCTATAGCTTAATTTCTTGTCTTTTATTTCTTATTTTACTGAAAGCAAAGGGTGATATCGTCTGCCTTAAACAAGTTATTTCAGAATTTGGTATGTTGTCTGTTAAGCAGTTTACCCAAACAGTCTTCCCTTAAATGCAGCAAGAAAAAGATATATCTGGTTAATTCTGTAAGCTTCCATTGTCATTAGATCTAGCCTTTGGGTTGGACAGAATAGTTCCCCAAAAATTACATCAATAAAGAGATGGCATGCATGCATATATATTTTTTTATTGTATGAGCTTCTGGTATACTTTCAGTATATGAATGGTACCTGTGTACTTACTCTTTCCACTGCTCTCCTTTTTATCCAGCTCAGGTTCTGCAATCTTAAGAAAAGCCTACACATTATATATCATTCATTTGTTTGTATTTTGTACAAAAATTTTGTATTTCTTTTTTTCATAACACGACTTTTGAGACTTTAGTTGAAAGGGCTGGCATGGGAGAAAGAGGGTTTCTATTGCTTCTTAAGCTATTTTCCTGCCTGACATTACCTCAGGCAGCTACTTTTACTACAATTAGGGGAAATATATGGGTATCCATACTCATAAAAAGCTATGCTTCAAATTCCATACAGGTAAGCCAGTTCAAGACACATGCATCTTCATTCACTGGTTGAGCTAGTTCCATAAATAACCTAGTGAAGTATCTGTCTGACAGTGTTCTTACTTGGAGGTACTTAGTAATGTTCATGCTTTGATACATACATCTTTTCATCACCCTTTAGATGCTGTTTGAAATGTATAACTTCACAGATTCCAAGTTAAAGAGTTGGCACTGAACAAAGAATTCCACTGAAAGGGTTTCAGCTTTATCACTGATGTAAAAACAAGTTTACTTATACTCAGGGTAACCATCCTGCAAGAAGCTCATTGTTACACATTTATTATATTTATACCCCACTTTTTTCCTTCCAAGGAACTTGAGGCAGCTTACATAATTCTCAATGTCATTCACACAACAACCCTGAGGGTAGCTTGGGTTGAGAATCTGTGACTTGGCTCAGAGTCACCCAATGAGTTCCATGGCTGAGTGGGGACTAGGCCCACTTACAGCCTTTATAACATGTTGTCTAACAATGCAGCAAACTGTGACCATTTCTCCAGTTTTTTGGATAGGATGTGGATTGTATATAAGTTTCTTGCTTGACCAAATTCATTAGTTTTTAATTTGGTCGTTGACACTGAAGATCTATATCCTTGCCTCTTACTACATGTCTATAGTGGTCTCTTGCTTGTTTGCAGGCAGATGCTTATTTATTTTCCTAGAGTAAGAAATCATTCAACTCTTACCTTTAAAAAAAAATGCATAGTGGCTTTGTTAGTAAATATATAGCTGCTGGGTTCTGGTTTCCAGCCAAAAGCTAATGACAAACTTAATGTAATTGATTATTGAATCAGACAGACAAAAACACTTAAACCAATGAAAGCCAGAACCTTTTGTATATTTATTCAAACAAAGCTTAATATATTTGTGAATTTAATTCTGTGTTTAATTAAAATTTGTCCATTTGCATTTCTAGTTATAAAAAAGGAAATAGTTTTCTTATAATAGGATTTTCTTTTTAAGAAACATTGGGAATGGGGACTTAAAGGTGCTTTCTTAGGTTTGGGAAAGCAGCCAAAATCTATATTAAAATAGTTGCTTCATTTGTAGTTGTCAAGAAGCCTTCAGTGAGAAGGCAGCTTTTATAATTAGAAAAAAGTGTGCTAAATTTTCCATAATATAATTTATATTTTAAAATGTCCTTGTGAAATTTCACAAGAGACAGTAATTTTGCTTTGGAACATTGGACCGCAGAAGGAGAAAGAAGATAGTGATGTCTATCAAATTTGGAATCTCTTTTTTTTATTGGCTAGAGAAACGGGACTTGGTTTAGATCTAAAAATGTTTTTAAGATGTCATAAATGGATGGGAATATGATTACAGAATGTTAAAAGATATGTAGTAAGGGGCTGACCCAGTAGTTCCGATGTTTGTGATGATTGATGTTTTTAGTATCGGTTTAAATTTTAATTTAAAAATTATAAAAAAAAGAAAGGAAAAACTCAGTGGAAAAAATTGGCAGAGAGAACCCTGAATTTCTATGCTTTCAGTTTTGTTTTTTATTTTAAAAAGGCAAATAACTTGTAGAACAGAACTTGCAGCAGTAATTTAAGTTAGACTAGAATTAATACTCTTACTGCAATGTTTCATTTAAGTCCAACTCAGTGAATTCATGGAGTGGGCATTCTCTAACCATGATGAGATAAACTCCAGGAAATAATATTATATAGAGAGCCAGTGGTTAAAAGCACAGAACTGGGACTCAGATCTGGGGTTTAGTCCCCACTTTGACCATGGAGCTCACTGGGTGACACTGGGCTTGTCACAGATTCTCAGCCCAACCAACCTCACAGAGTTGTTGTGAGGATGAGATTGAGAGGAGGAAAGCTACATAGTTCACCTTGACTTCCTTGAAAGGAAGAAAGGTGAGGTATAAATACAATAAATAATAAGTAGGTTCTCAGCATGTAAATAGAGGTTTTATATGAGTCTGGTTGTTTGGTAAAAAGCTATATAAGCTTAAAATCATGTTGAGGCCTACTGGAAGGATTTGCAATGTTTGTTGCATTCAATACGATCTGTTCTATGCACTCACAAATATTTCATCACAGATTGAAGGGAGATAGAACATGGTTGCTTCAGAAGATCTTCCTTAAGGATGTCTCTCCTTTAGAAGTCAGTCCATAAGCTGCATTGAGTTTAGGCTGCATAAGAATTGTGACTAGAAGCAAACTAGCTGCCAATGGAGTATAGAAAGAAGAGACTTACTATTTCTTCTGTACCCAGCTTTACATAGATTGGAATAGCCCATTGTTATAGCTGCTAACTTGAAGATATTGTGCTTAGCCATTCTTTTGCCATGACCACTGACACCCCTAGGCATGTTCATTTCTATGAAGGGGCTGTCCCAAAGCAGAGGGGAGGAGACCACCATATAATTCTGGACTCCTCCTCTCTGGTTCCAAATTCACTTGACTGCAAAGCTGTTGGATGGTTAGTGAGGGCTCCCACCTAGTGACCAAAGACAGTACTGCAAGCATCACATGGATACATGCAAATTACCTAAAATGAACCAAATAGCCCTGCTGTGCACACTGGAAAGGTTTCCTTGAGAAACTTGCCAAGTCTCATGCACTTAGGTTTCATGGTCTTGTAGCTACAGCACTGACAGACACATCTTTTATTACGAATGACTTGCCAAAAGATCAGCACTTGATTCTGTACCAGTTAATGCTTCTGAACAACCTTCAAGGACAGTCCCAAGCTAAGTAACTTACAGTAATTGTTCCATGTAGTTACGAAAGTATAAATGAGAATGGTAAAATCCCTGTTCTCCAATGAAAACAGGGAGACATTACATGCAAAGCAGGTCTATGATAAAAGTTCCACAGGGGCGCAGTTGCAACTCTCAATTTCAGGTTAAAGTTCTCATAATAAAGTATATAATTTATTAAAATACAGCAGGACCCTCATATCCATGCAGATCAGTTCCAAGCCTCCCAGTGGTTGCCTGAAACTCCAGATAATAGCCAACATTATGCAATACACTATACATTACCAAGCAATAAGTGGCAAAATAAACTCATACATATATTCAAAATAAATAAACAATATACATCTCTTGTTCCCATTCATTCTTGGCTCTGTACTTTAAGACTTTCTTTGGCACTTTGCAGCACTTTACAACTTATCTTTTAGGCCGAGGTCAACTGCAGTTAACTGGAAGCACAGCAATCGAGCCAGTGGGTATGGTGGTCCTGCTGTATATGCTAGGAAAACATTTCAGAGTTGACATAGCTGGTTCAAGGATGTTGAAAAATAAACATCTGGAAACTGATTTATGGGCCATTGCTTTTAGATCCAGTGTTTGCAAAATCAGTGCAAGCAGCTTGTGACCAACAAAGTAACAGCATATTAATAAGCCATGTGCTTTAGCATTTGTGCATTGGGAGCAATTTGGCTACAGATCTGAGACTACCCACTAATTCTGCATTATTTATAAAACTCGTAATACTGCACTAGTGCAGGCCTGAATTCATTATCTTATTAATTCTTTCCAGATTTTTAGCTATCTTATTCATAACATGTTTTCAAGCCATATT